TGACAACGAACGAGACTTCTTCTGAAACTTTTAAATAGTAATCACTTGTTTTTTTACTTTTTATTTACTTTATTTTTGCTCTTATTATTATTTTTTTAAATCCGAACCTTTCTTTGATGTTTATGTTTTATCGCATTTTTAATTACTTTTAAATTCGAAATCTTAATAAAGAAAAGTTTGAAAAAAAAAATTATACATATATAAAAAGTATTTTTATACTTGCATTTATATACTATTTATTATTATATATTATTACTATATATATATATATATATATATATATATATATATATATATATATATATATATATATATATATATATATATATATATATATATATATATATATATATATATATATATATATATATATATATATATATATATATATATATGTATATATATATATATATATACATATATATATATAAATATATATAATATATATATATATATATATATATATATATATATATATATATATATATATATATATATATATATATATATATATATATATATATATATATATATATATATATATATATATATATATATATATATGTATATATATATTTGTCATTTATATTTTTGTTTTGAGGGGCCTTGGCGATAATACTGAATTTGTCTTCCTCTTGCCCCAGCTGTGTATATATATTTTATTCAAGTCTAATTTTGTAAATATTTTCTTTATGGCGAAATGCATAATGATAATATTGTTATTATTACTATTATTTTGTTATTATTATTACTATTATTATTTTAAATATTACTGCACATTAAATTTTATCTTAACAGCACATGACTCCAAGCTGTTCTATTGTAATACAGATATTAAAAGGCTCAATTTTAATCGAGCCTTGAAATAGAGGTTCGAATTTAGCATCTATATTTAAGACTCAATTTTAGGACCGTTTTAAATTTTTCTTTATATAAAAGATTTATCTTTAAGTTCAGCATAATTTGTCTATTAAAAATAACTAATAAAATATTAAACAAAGAAACGAATGATTATCACGTAATAAACTTATCAACTAAGTTATAGCACGTGAACTTAATAACACAAACTAAGTTATAATGCCGTAAACTAATTATTCTTTTGTTTATTACTGTATACAACTTGAGCAATAGGTCACTACTGGAACACATAATGACGTAAATTCTAAAGAGAGTAAAAAAGATTGTACTAGAGTAAGAGTTAAGTGAAAATTTACAAAAGATACTTGATAGATGTTAATTTGAAAGCAGCTAATTCACTGAAAGTAATAACTGTAATTGAATCACGTATGTACACACGGTTAGTACGGATCCTGAAAGTGGCAACCTAGCTGACCCAAGAACGCCACTTAGGGTATGGGGTGATTATATTTTGTTATTTTTTTGCAACTTAGACCTCAAAACGTTACCAATTGCTCCGATATTTGATCACTATTTTCAAAATAAAGGTTACATGATTGTTACTATGTAATACCAACAATTTTAATTATAGTTGTTTTATTGCTGGATGTACCCTTTTTATTCCAGAGACAAAAATATTGATTTGCTATTTGAAGCTAAATTGTAAAAAAAACTTTTAATTATGTGAAAAATGTTTGGAACTAAGTTTGTATCAGCAAGTTGCTGGAGCACATCCACATTTTTAAAAAGCTTCCTGCATTCATTTCCCTCGAACTTGCCCCCATGATACGGTCTCAGTTGAATTGGAGGGTAGCTGGCCACTTAACAGCTTCTATCCAAGCAGTTTTATGTATCTTGAAAAGATGATTAACAACTCCTATAAGGTAAAGCATTTCTTTTAGTCCTGATCATTTCCGAAATCAGAACATTGTCAGGCCCACTGATGACTTGTTTTCGAATGACATTGCTAAACAACTTTGCACGAGCAACAACCCCGCCAAATTGCTCAAAAAACTCGAGGCTAAATTTGAATGAAACTATTGTTCGCAAGTGTCCAGATTTGGCAAGACACTTGGATTTGTTGTCACAACATGTACAAAGGTGCAACCTTATACAAAACTTGAGAAAACCTTTACAACCGCCAATTTTGAGCTTAAGAAATTTGGCGAGATTAGATAACATCATTTACAAGACTTGATAAATCATCGCAGTGAGAAACAATCTGAACCAGAATCTCCTTTTCCGTTGGTAATTTTTAAGTCACAGAAGTGTAAGAAATTACTCAAGTGTTAACCTTTTCTTAAGAAAGTTTTATAAAAAATTGGCTTGACCACCGTGCTGCTTGTTGTTTGGTTTACAATGCTGACCAGTTTCTTTAATTCGTTGTTTGAGAGTCCCGTATTAATTGTACATTTACAAAAGCCAGAATGGTCAATTTAGGAGCGCTTGACAGTAGCTGGGCATTACTACAACCTGAAACCAAAACAATTTTTTTTTTATCTTTATATTAAACTTTGTTTAGAAAGTTTGTTTAAAACTTTTAAACTTTTTTTGTTTTTAAAGTTGTTAGAAGCTTGTTAAAAATATACTTCCCAAAACCTTGTCCCTTTTTTTAAAGATTTCCTTTGAATATATATGTAAAAATTATTTAAATATAAATACTTACCAGGGGTAATTGTAGGGGAAGACCCGCCAGATGCTTTAGCAAGTCAAATGTTTTCTTACGGGATAATTTGTTATTGGAAATAACTCGAGATGCAATTTGTTCGGCTGCTCTGGCATCTTTTGCTGCCAAAGATTGAAGGTTTCACTTAAACTTTTATTGATACCATTGGTCGGAAAAATCTTTTCCTAAATGGCAGAGTTATGTGCTGCAACATACATTTGTTTCGCTCTCAATGGTGGTTTGTTCTTCAAGAGGATTTTTTTTCAAGCTTTGAACAACTAGTTTGGCAGATTAGGTAATAACACATCGTGCTTTTTGTTTCAGGTCTCACTTATATTGAATTGAAATTAAACAAAGGAGGATGTATAACTATTTTTCAGAACTATTGTTCTAAACATATTGCAGAGTCCTTATGGTATTCAAAATTCATTGATGTTGATCTTTTTCTTGTACAGTTGGCATATTTGATCTGCTTGGAAAGCAGTAAGCTGTGTTAAACATTTATTCAGACAGAGCATGCACACAATTTATCGAAAATGTAAACCTTTGCTTAATTTAGCATTGTAACAATTCACTAAATCCATCTTTACTAAATCAAACAACCCTTTTTACAAAATTTAATTTGAATTTATATTGGATAACAATCCACTAATATACTTACAAATATTATTAATTACAAACAATTAAAATTAAAATAAAAAGAATTTAAAATAAAAAGAAATAATTACTTAAATTAAAAGAAAATAATTTTTACATAATTCTTTTCTTAAAAGAAAATACTTATTAAATTACGACGCTTTTCATACTTATTGAAAATTTAGATGAGATTTTATTTCATGACAGATTCCTACATTCATGACACATTCCTACAAAAATTTTTTTACTGCTCTTCAAAGGACTCTTCTCGCTTTCGTAAGATTTTCCTTTTTTAGTTAAATTTTTACACTATTTTTATGTGGGTATCTTTTTAACCACTTTTATGCATTATGACAGTAATTTATACATTAGAAAATGCTGATATTTTTACGTAATGCATTAGCGAAGTCAAACCACGCTTTAAATAGCAAATCAATAATTTGATTTATAAAATAAAAATAGCAGTTGTAGTATTAAAACAATTATAAAAAAAATTGTTGGTGTTACATAGCAGAATACTCATGTAACCCCTATTTTGAAAATAATGACCAAATATCATAATAATCGGTAACGTTTTAAGGTATAAGTAGCAAAAAATTAACGAAATGTAAGTTAAAACTTTCATAAATCCTTAACCAGTCAGGTAATCCGGCTAAACATTCATCCAGAGTTTGGTGAAGTTATATGCTACATTTGCACCAACTTTTATCAAATTATATGAAATAGTTCTCATTTTACAGGTGTTTTTATGGTCGCACTATTAAATCAAAGTTTCACTAAATTTGAACATTCAAATTAAATTACTTTCCGTGGACAAAATTAAAAGACTTTAAAATTTGCATCACTAGGTACCTTTATGTGTATGCTATTACTCCATAAAAGTGGCGTTCTTGGGTCAGATAGATTGGCATTATCAGGGTCCGTGCTAACCGTGTACATATGACACATGAAATTGTTTATTTGTTATTTCTTATCCACTAGTAATATTCATATTTATAATTTAGTAAAAATAAAAAATATTTAAATAAGATATCAACATGAACATCAAAACAGAATGTTTTAGTACTTTTGCAAGCCATGTGAGTCTTTAAACCACTGCGTCACCACTACGTCACGGTTGTTTTAGCTTAATATTAAGTTTTATGCTTAGAAGAACATAGTTTAATGTTAACTTTATACTTTTCTTTTTACTTTTTTAATTTATAGTTAGGTTAAAATTAGGTAAAGATAAAAACAATATTTTACGGTGAGTCATAAAATATGGTATAAATTATAGACTTAAATTATAAATTAAAATAGATATAAAAAACTATGGAACCCAGTATGACTAAATATAAGGCCTAAATATTTTTGCCTTGATTGGAACAAATAGTGCTTTAAAAACCGAGTCTATTAAGCAATAATACAGTAAACTCAAATTATTGTTAAATGCATAGATAGGTTATAAGCATGTATTAATCAAGACAAATAAAAGGTTCCTACTTAAACTACCTATGGTTAAAAAAGGTTTATTCCTGAGGTCGTTCACCTCTTTTATCCCTAGAAAAAACAGCCGATATATTGGTTGCTTTTTCTAGGGATAGACGAATTATAAGAAAAGTAAATATATATATATATATATATATATATATATATATATATATATATATATATATATATATATATATATATATATATATACTCAGTTGCACCTTTGATTACAAAAATCAATAAAATAATGTAAAATTGTGCCAAATGACATAGTACCTCATATTAAATACACATCGGGGTGGGCATGTATGATTTGGATAAAAAATAATGAGAAAAGATTTCTTGCTATCCAAAACTATATGAATAAAATACTGTACATCAACATAAAAAGTCTGACTTTATTTAAAAAAAAAAAAAGAGTATATACACATTTATAAATTGTATCATAAATATATTTTTAATCATTGTGTAACATATATATGTTTTTTTTATTTGATAATATTAATATATTACTATTTGAAAATTAAAAAGTTTTTTTTATTATTATTTTATCGTATTTTCTATTCAAATATTTTCATTTTTGATAATAACAAAATCTAATTGTATTGCACATCAGATAAACGTGTTGTATAAATGAAACAGCGTTTATGGAGCTTTCCCCCACCACTCTCCATTATTCATGGAGTTTCAAATGGTGCGATTTTTTTCTTCTAAAAAGTCGTTTGTTTTACTTTTATAAAAAGTTCTCGTTTACAAAACTCATACATATTTTTTTAAAAAAACTGCTCGATTACTTTTAGCTAGTAGTTTTCTGCGTTACTTTCATTTTCAAATTTATGGTGAGTTCTTACCGATAGTCGCTGACTTACATGTCGGTTATGCCTCTCAATTTCTTTGATAGTTGCCTGCCTCCGTATCTCATCTTCTCGCTGTGTAAAACGCAAAGAAATTCCGGAATCAAGAGAAATTTTTTTATTTTTTATTCCAATTTTACTTTGATTGCAAAGCTGCTGTTCCTTGCTTGATTTTAAAACGTCTTGGTGCATTTTTTTTGTTCTTTCTCGATTGCAAAAGTAATCAAAGTTTGAGACAATTACAGGTACAGGTAATGCAATTGATAGTACACCACAAATTGAGCATAATCCGCCTATTATCTTGCCCCAAAACGTTTTAGGAACCTAAGTTAAATAAAACCAAAAATAACAAATTTTAAAAAAACATTAATTTTGCAATGTAATAAGATCTATATGTAATAAGATATAAATATATATATATATATATATATATATATATATATATATATATATATATATATATATATATATATATATATATATACATATATATATATTGATCTGGCTTTGTAGCAGTTTTCAAGCGATTATTTTATTCTTATTTTACTTCTTTCTAATGACTTTAACATCTGTATTTAAAATTCGATTTTTATTGTTGAGTTTTTTACAATTATGAAAATAATTAAACTTTAAACATTGCAATTTTATAGCAATGTGTTGCTAGCTACATATCGTAGCTTTGTAGCTAGCTACAAAATATCTACAAATTTATAGCTGGTAGGTTGCTACAAATTCAAACTTTTTAGACAGCAATTTTATTACGATTTTAAGCTGGCTACAATAACTAGGGCATCTTTAGCTTATTAAGCTAGCTGTCCTCAATTAAATAATATGTAGCTCAATTGCTCTCTTTATTTTTACAAATATCGATAGCTTTTCGCTAACTTAAAAAAGCTAGCGATCCTCGTGGCCAAATGTGGTCGTGGTCTTTATTGTTACGATTATAGCTAGCTATTCGCTAGCCAATATCCCACCACGATGTTTTAAAGGTTGGAAAGATGTAAAAAAAAAGTTCAATTTTATGAAGGTTTAAAAACTAAAATACTGTATAAATACTAATAAATAGCAAAGAACAAGTTTAAACACAAAAATTTTTATTAAAAACAAGATATATGTATTTTTTTATGTTTTTAAATCTTCAGTAATTGTTATTCAGTACATAAAGAAATATAACAAAATATCCATTAAGGGAAACATTTTTACGGCTTTTCTCGCCTAGAGTTTGAAATAACTTCAAATAACTTGAAATAAAATAAATTTTTTAATAATATTCAATTGGAGATTATTATTATTATTACAAATGGAGATTATTATTATTTATAATGGAGATTATTATTAATAATGGAGATTATTATTATTAATAATGAAGATTTTTATTATTAATAATGGAGGTTATTATTATTAATAATGGAGATTATTATTAATAATAACAATCGCCGTAACTTTTCTATGAGGGTTGTCCATAAATTACGTCATGCTCTGGGGGAATTGAGGTAGAGAGAAGTTAGTGGTTTTGTGTCGGCTCGTACTGGACTTGTTTCAAAAGAGTTACGATGTTGTGACGATGGTGAAAGCGGGTCAAAAACTGTAAAAAGTTCCGTGATTTTATTTTATGGGCGACCCTTTATTAATAAGTGCTTTAAAATATAATTAAAATAAACTTTTTAATAATAATAAACGACAAGTCTAAATAATAAATGTAAGTTATATGCTTTAATAATAGATAAGCAACAATTGAATAACAATAATTATTTTTATCATAAACTTAGATTACTACAATAACAACACACTTTTACAATAAATTCAAAATTTTAAACTTTTGTTTAAGTTTAGTATTGCTTTATTTAAACTGTTTATTTCTGATTGATAAATATATGTCACGAAATATTTTGCGGTAATTTTATAAAAATATTCTTTTCCTAAAATTTTTTTATTTTTTTTTTATTTTTTGAGACTAAGCAACTTTACTGTTCTGTAATTAAAAAAATTATAATAATCATTTAGTATGAAATATGTTCGAAATAAAAATATGTTATGTTGTTATACTATATGTTGTTAAATATTTAATAAAAGGAACATAACAACAAACATAATAAAAAGGCATAACCAAAAATCGTGACGTCTATATATTTTCATAGTTTCTAATAAAAAAAAAAATAGGTCAAATAGGTTAAACCTAAAATAGTCGGTTAAAATTACCAACCAATTAAACTTAATTAAACTTATGTCTTACCATGTCCCCGTACCCAACTGTACACATAGTAATGATTGCCCACCAAAAAGCGTCTGGGATACTGGTAAAATTCTCGACCTCTAAATAATAAATAGTTGCTGAAAATAAAACAACTCCAATCCCAATAAAAAACATTAGCATCCCAAGTTCTTTGATACTTGCTTTCATTGTTTGTCCCAAAATTTGTAAACCTTTAGAATGTCGTGAGAGTTTAAACACTCGAAACACCCGAACAAGTCGAAGTACACGAAAGTTATCTAGTCCTACGTTTTCAACGTGTTTCTTCATAGCTAGGGTAAAATAAAATGGAAGAATGGAGAGAATATCAACTATGTTTAGGAAACCAGTCAAAAACTTCTTTTTACTCGGAGAAGATATTAGTCGTAGAATGAATTCTACTGTAAACCACGAGCCAAAAATACCTTCTAAAATGTCAAAAGTATCTTTCCAAAAAACCTTTTCCTCTGTTATTGTCGAGTTTAATAGTGCTGCCGATCTTAGTTCTGTTTTCATTTCAGAACAGCGACAACTACATACGCAGTGTTTATTTTGAGTTGTACCTTGAGATAATATTGTAAAATTATTTCTGGTAATCCAGAAAGTTTCTTTCTCGTTAAATTTTAAAATTTGGTCATGATACATTAGGTTTACGTCAGCTGATACAGTCATTGAATATTTTCTATCATTTTCTTTTAATAATGTATCTGTTTTAAAAAATGGTAAAGTCTCTATACAAAGTACAGTAACAGCTAGTACTATCATTGTAACAGAAAAAATTGTCATAAGTTTAGCAGCTTTGCTTGATTCAGGATGTTCAAATAAACACCATACCTTTTTTTGCCATTTACTTTTAGGCATAGCGGAGCTAATATCCTCTGACTGTATGTCCAAAACTTGCTTGATTGCTGTGTTTCCAAGTTCAAAAAACTGTGCTTCGGTTACCAAGATGGTCATAGGAAGAGTTAAAGGGCAATAAAGTTGACCATTTGACTGGTAGTAGTAAAGAATAGCGTTAAAAGCATTTCTATCTCTGTCAAAGAAGTATTCATCTTCAACTCCGTCGTAAAAGAGATCTCTCTTTGCTTTGTTTCCAAGTAAAGACTCGGGAAACTTGTTAAGTGTCTCAACATACGTCTGATATCTTTCACCTGATACGTTGATTGTAATTTTTTCATTTTTTGTTGCTTCTTGTCGTCGAGGTAAATGATGATACTTGTGGGTTAGATATCCATTTTGGTCTAGCAAACTTGACGGCTTATTTAATCCAAACGTATATCGCATTAATGGACGGTGTGAATCATTTTCCTCATCTGCAAACATCTTGAAATCGGAAATCTTAATATCTCAAATGCAATTTTTTGTTTGTTCTTAGAAAACGAAGTAATGAATATTAAATAATTTACAATGTTTTAATACAATCTTTTTATGTTTATCAGGTTGTTGATCTGTTATGATTATTACGTGTATGATAACTGCTAAAACGTGGTCTTAGTTATACAGTAAGTTGCACGCAAAGATTTTTTTTTGCTATGTTTTTCTTTCTTCTTTTTTTCTTTTTTCTTTTTTTTCTTTTTTTTTTTTTTTTTTTTTTTTTTGCGACCGTGGCTCATTGAAAATTTTAAAAACATCATTAATAGCTCTTTTTAATTTAAAAAACTTTAGAAAGCTTTTATTTATCCCAGCTGTGTAGGATCTTAAGGATTAGTTTTAGAAAAACTAAAGAGAAAATTAAAGAAAATAGCTACAAACACTTTTTATACGTACTAGCTGTTTAGAAATTAAAGGTTTAATATATACATTCTGGCTGTGAAATAACTAATTTTATAACTTTTTTTTTTCTTGATATAATTAACACGTTTCTCGATTTATTTTTTTATTTTTAAGACACTAATGTACGCTTTAGTAACAAATAAGTTAATTTTATTTAAAAGGCTTCATTAAAAAAAACAACTTAGATATAGAACGAAATAAAAATAAAAACTGTAGTCACAGACGTTAACAAATTAATAGAATTAGTTGTGATCATTTAAAGGAAAAATTATCCAGCAGAGGATTTGAATTTATTTAAACAATACTTAACCAAACGATAAGGACGCTTGAGAAGAAAGAATACTTAAAAACCTTCAATTAATGGATAAAATAAACGTTTTATACGCAATTAATATATAAAAGAGTTATAAATAGAAAATCACTCTGTGAAAAATGTAAAATTTATCAGGAAAGTAAGAATAAATGGTGACTTTCAATGGTACTAGATAATTATTTAAAATTCTTGTAAACTGCAAGCGTTAAAAACTACAATAGCTTCAAAAAATTTTTGTCATTATTTGTTGCAGAGAAATCTGTTATCAAATTTGTGTGTGTATAGTATAATGTTACCACCAGAGAGGGGCCAGAATGAGATTTACTTTTTCCACGGGAAAGCGAAGTTCTGAAAAAAATTTTGTGAAAATTTGTTGTTTTTAAAGCTAGATATAATGCAATTGATTTAATAGCAAAAATTTAAATTGGCATTGCTTAACTCCTGCACCTAAAATACAACATAATGTGCATTTAATTGTCACACAAATATTTTTATTTACAAAATTGAAATATATTTTTCATCATCAATATTTTTTGAAATTATGGTAATTTGAAGTAAAATTAAATTAGTTTGAATTTATTTGAATTAATTTGAATTAAAATTAAATTTAAAAATTTGAAGTTAAATTAAATTGATATTTTTTTTTATTTGAATTTCTGATATATAATCATTAAGGCTAGTGGTATTTTCAAGTTTTAAATACTTGATTACAGATAATTTATTTTTTAAGTATGCAAATTATTCTTTTATAATTGAGTAAAACTTTTTTTTTTTTTACCATTTTGCCGTTTACTTAAAGTAATTTATTACCATTTTGCCGTTTACTTAAAGACCTATTTTGCGACTATATAACAATTAAATAAAATATTCGTGTTATACAAATAGGTAATGCCAAATGTTTTTGATCGGCTTTCTAAAGTTTTCAATTGACTTTCTAAAATTAAATATTTCTTATATTAGCAATGTTAAACTTTTTAAAATCATTGCCAGTTATTCTTAAGTCTTATTAGTTCCTAACAAATTCTGTCTATAAATAGCTATTCTATTCTTCCAGGTAGCAAACATAATATTTATAATTATCCTACCAGGTTATTGGTTTGGCACTCTTACGCTCTATTTGGAAAGGGGTAATGGTATTTTAAAAAGGCTATTATTTTACTAAAAATTTTTCTTCATCAATGTCTGACACTGTTTTTCTTTAAAATGCAATAAAACAATGAGCGACTAAAATTATATAAATAAAAAATTTTTTTTTTTTAAAGTTTTTGTAATAAAATAAGTTTTAATTATGCTTCAAACTTCGAAAAAAATGTCTCAAAAAATTTAATGTGCTTTAAATGAAAAGTTACAACAATGTTAATAGTTAAAGAAATTAAAAAAATTTAAAAAAAAATTACGTTTAAACATTTAAGGACATATGTAAATTATAAAACGGTTTTTTTTAAACATCTGACAGATTTCAAAATAATAAGAGGAACTTAATCGTTTTTTTTATTGCGCTCAAGATATTTTAAAAATTCTTAAACCTTTTTTCAAACTTAAAACCTTTTTTCACTTTAACAAGTTGGTTAAACATGTTAAATGTTAAGTATTTTTAAACAAAATTTTAATCATTATTTTTATGTGTTGATTGGTTGATAAAATACAAGATAATACATATAAATAAGGAAGTTATAAACTTAAAAAAAAAAATGTCCAGATGATTTAAACGGAAAATTTGTTTTTGATTCAAATGATATCATAAAAAATACATGTTTTTCTTTAATAAAAAACCTCTTTTTGGGAAATTTATTTTTATTTGCTTTTTGTTGTTGTAGTTGTTTTATTTTGTATATTATTTGGTTTAACATTTTATCTTGGCTTTTTAACATTTTATCTTGGTTTTTAAATATTTTTCCATAAAGGTGTATTATTATTATTTCACTACAGACATTGTATTTTTGTCAAAAATTAACTAGATATTGTAAAGGGCTTTATGACAAGATCCTCATGATCTTCTAGAAGTCCTGTCGTTAGTAATGTAAAAATTGTAAAATATATTTAGTTATTGTAATATTAAGCGGCAAAATATTAAAAAAAAAAAAAAAAAAAAAATATGACTGAAAAGTTACTATAGCAATCGAAAATACTTTGGTGTAGATTTTAAAACATTGATGTCTACATCAAAACATTTTCGTCCTCAAAATTTGGTGAGTGATCGTGCGGAGTTCTTAAAGAATTCATACAAGTATCCGATTTAGGTTCATAACATATCATAATAATGAAACCTTAGAAATTTTTGATTTGCCTAAACCAAAATAATCATTATTTATTATCAAAAAAATTATAGCCGTTTTTGTTTTCTTAAAATCTAATTTGTCTCGTAGTTTGTTTTGGGTGATAATTAAATAATTTTTTTAATAATTTCTAGTTCCAGTGCCATTTTCTTTTTAATTTTTAAGTAATTTTATGAAAAAACCTCATTCTTGAGTACTCGTAAAGTAATACTATTTTAAAATTAAAAGCAAGGAATATTTTAAAACGTTTTATTTCAGTTTAATCTGTAAACTAAATTTAGCAAAAAACTTTTCATTGATGCCTATGAAACAATAATTTAATATATTATATTTAGTAAGTTAGTCCAACTTAAGTAAATTAGAGTCTAAACATATAACAACAGATAAGCGTATAACAACAGAAGTTTTAAGAAACAAACAAAAACATGACAATTTTCTAACGAAGTGTACTTATATACTGAAATATCTTGTTATACAGTTGTAAATAAGTTTATAAATAAAGAATTGAATTAAATTTAAATGAAAAATGCGTTTTAGGTTGATTTAACATTATTTTTTAAAGTAGATGTTAAAGGAGATATTAAAGGAGATAAATGAAAAATTGGTTTAAGTAGATTTATAAAAAGCATTTTTCATTTAATAAAATAAATTAAATTATACGACTTTATAAAGATTTTATTTATTTTTCCGCTTAAAACTTCTACCAAATATTTCTACTTCTACCAAGTTCAACTACTTTTTTTCTTCTTCTTTGTCTTCAATTTTTAGTAATTTAAAACCTTTTTTTGTTTCTAACTCTTACCAACATCAGCTGCCTTTTCCTCTAATTCCAACCTCTTTATTGCAACCGTGGCGCAGTGGTTAGAGTTTTGGCTCAAAACCAAAAGGTCCGAGGTTCAAGGCTGGCTATAGCCCAATAGGCGACAAAAGAAGGAGACTTGAACTAGTGTAGTGCTCTTCCGCGGTGCTCTGTGATAATACAGTAAGGACACACACACACACTCAAAACTTTTACTAACAGCAACTAGCTTTTCTGTTCTATTTTTTAACTGTATAATTTAATAAATCTGGAACTTGTTGTGAAAAATTTTAAATTTATTAATGTATATTTCTGCGTTTTATCGATTTAGTTTAGGAATTTGAGTAGGAAATATTGATTTAAAAGAAAAATGTACCTTGAAAAACTTGTTAAAGAACCTTTATTATAAGGTAACCTAGGTAATCTAGATGGAGAAGAACTTTTGTTATTATTGACCTTATGTTTAATTGTAGACGGTTTACTAACATTTTCTTTTAATCATCTCATTTTAATTTCTAACTTCTAAACAATTTAACATTTTTTCCAGACATCTTGAGAGGATTTTATTATAATAATGTAATCAAATATTAAACTTTAACACACTGAGCATATCGAATAATATAATCGAATATTATATGCGAATAATATAGTTCTGACTAATAATAAACTGACTAACCATACTGAATAACAATATATAAATGTTTAAGCTTTCAATTAATTCAATAAAATTAATTTTATTTAACAAAATTTTCCAAAATAAAAAAAAAAAAACTATTTTATCCTTTTAAAACTATTTTATTTATAATTTTATTTATAATTAATTGATTGTGATTCGTAACATTTTATTTTATAATTTACTTTTCTAAATCTTTTTAAGACTTACTATCCCAACAACAACTTACTAATGCAGCATGCGTAGGTTTGGTTCTTTATTTTATTTTTTGAAACAATACATTAAAAGTACTAATCATAAATAATACTTAATGATTTTATTTTTTTTCAGACGCCTTCTATTTTTGATTGAGTTTAGTTCAGCTTTAAAGCAACTGCACCTGCAAAATTTAGCAACATCCAGTCCAAGTAATTTACAACGATAATCAACTTGAAACATCTATACACATATATTTGCATTAGAGTGGTGTTGATGTGGTTTGCATTATAATGATGTAGATATCTATGCATTATAGTGAAGTGGTTGTTTTTTTTTTAAACAAAATGCCAAAATATTTACAAAGATTAAAAGTTGCCTTAAAATGCAATAAAAAAAAATTGTTTTCTATATCTTTCTCAACATCAAGCTTAACTTAAAATTCAAAACTTTTAAAAAATCAAATTTTATCTTGAATTAAATTATTAAATAAACACATCTACTTTAACTGATGCTGTTGAAATGGCTTTAGCATAAGTTGTTTGTTACATTACGTAAGACT